GCTAAATAACAACGTGAAGATCTCCCAGTGGGGGAGAGGTAGAGGTTTTGCCTGGATCAAAGCTGGGGAGACGTATATATATACAGTGTGTACATTTCTCCAAACGCGTCGGCACAATGCTTTGACTCATTTCTGCAGGAACTGGGAAACGAGGTGGACACGAAAGGCACCAGGGTGCTAATAGGAGGTGACTTTAATTCCAAGTCACCGATGTGGGGGTCTCCTCACGAAGGCCGAAGGGGAAAAAATCTTGTAGATTGGATCCACAGCAGATCATTCGCCATCATGAACGCGGGTGATAAACCAACATTCACTAGAGGTGCTAGTCAATCTCACATAGACGTCACAATGGCCTCAGAGGAGATCTCACGAACGATCCGCGACTGGCGGGTCCTTGATGAGGAGACTGCCAGCCTGCATAATTACATTGCGTTCAGTGTCGGCCGCGCCGTTCGGGATAGCAACGGAAGGAGATGGAAAAATGGCAAGCTAGATGGAAAAACCTTTACAAGGCTTTTGAATGAAGAGCTAAGAAACCGACAGACTCTCGACATTAAAACGCTTATGTACAGAGTAAGGAAAGCCTGCAGGGGAGCCACCCCGAGAGTAAGACTAGAACACGGACAGGATGACGTATACTGATGGACTCTTGAGATCGAGGAAGCAAGAAAAGCCTCGCTCCAGGTTAGAAGGCAAGTGTGTAGATTGGCTGCGCGAGCCCAGGGGAACGTGGAAGAATTAACCAGACTAAAAGAAGTCTACTGGGAAAAGAAGAGAGTCCTAAGAGAACTCATACGTAAACAGAAAAGAGATGGAAGAACTTATGTATGGACGTTGACAGCGACATCTGGGGCCTGGGCTATAAGATATTGAGGGACAAAGTGAGAATAAGGGCTCCGAAGATCGACCTAGATAGTGGACGCAAGATGGAGATCGCAAGGAGATTGTTTCCTGCTGACGCTCATGTCTGGAAGAGAACAGAGGTGGTATGCGAAACATGCGACAAGATAGAGTTGGAGGAAATTTTGGCTGCTGCGGACAGACTGAAACCAGGGAAGGCGCCCGGACCTGACGGTATCCCACCAGAGGCAGTGAAGCTTCTGGTTAAAGAACATGCAAATGCCTGCCTGGAGGTGTTGAATAGGGTATATGAGTTAGGTATTTTCCCTAAAAGATGGAAAAACTCGAGGTTGATACTGGTTCCTAAGCCAGGAAAACGCCCAGAGGATCCAGGAGGGTGTAGGCCAATCTGCCTAATTGATGTAATGGGCAAATTAAACGAAGCAATAATACTGGCTAGATTGAACGTGGAGATTGAGCGTAGTGGCGCGTTAAACGACAGTCAGTATGGCTTTATAAAAGGCAGGTCCTCAACTGGGGCTGCCAAACGCATTGTAGATGCATTAAAAAGAGAAGGAAGAAATAACTGGTGTGCTCTTATATTGCTCGATGTGAGGAATGCCTTTAACTCTGCAAGTGGGCGCATTATTATCCGTAATCTGGACAGATAAGAAGGGTCATAGAAGACTACCTTAAAGACAGGACGGTGGAGGTGGACAAGGAAAACAAGTTCGACATAAGCATGGGAGTCCCACAGGGGTCCATCTTGGGCCCCACGCTATGGAATGTCCTTTATGATGGCGTCCTGAGCATAGACATGCCAGGGGGTGCCCGACTCACAGCCTACGCCAATGACCTGGTGGCGTTAGTTGTAAATCCCACGGAAGAAGGGCTGGTGGAGTGCGGAAATGAAACGCTACGAAGAGTGGAGGGTTGGATGCAAGAAAATGAATTAGCACTTGCTCCGGAAAAAACCGAAGCTATCGCCATGTCAGGTATGAGGCGACCAAAGAAAGAGATTAAATTTAAGCTGGGACAGGCCACAATAAACATTCAGAACCGGGTAAAATACCTAGGGATTGTAATTGATAAGTCGCTAACATTCGGAGCACATGTTGAGGAGACCTGTATAAAGGCTGAGAGGACCATCGCGGCTCTGACCCGACTGTTACTTAACATTGGGAGGCCCAGGGAAGACAAAAGGAGAGTACTGTCAGGAGTGGTAAACTCTGTACTTTTGTACGCGGCTCCTGTGTGGGCTGACGCCATGCGAATAGATAGACACAAGAATAGGATGTTGAGCACACAGAGGAAGATTGCTCTTAGAGTGGTGCGCGCGTATCGGACTGTGTCCACGGAGGCCCTCTTGGTGGTAGCCAAGCACCAGATACCAGCACACCTAATGGCAGAGGAGAGGAAACGTTTGTTTTGCGAGGAGGGAAATGATGCAGGATTAGCTAGGAGGAGGACCCTGGAACAGTGGCAGCGAGAGTGAAGCAATGGAGAGAAGGGGTCATGGACAAGAACACTTATCCCCGACGTAAGACCTTGGACGGACAGGAAGCATGGTTATACAGGGTATCATGTCACTCAAGCGCTGACGGGTCACGGGTCTTTCAGAAAGTATACGAACAGAATAGGCAAGGCAGAGGACGATCTTTGTATCTACTGTCACGAAGAAGATACGCCGGAACATACCCTGTTTAGATGCATAAGATGGCAGAACATACGCCTAGAACTTGAGTTGGAGATCGGGACTGAGATAACAAAGGATAACATGGTGAAGCAGATGCTGGAAAGCGAACGGAAATGGAGAGTTATTAACAGGGACTTAAGCGACATTATGATCGGAAAGGAGGGAGATGAGAGAACACAATAGAATAAAATCAAAACGGCCAGCGTTGCCGATGCAAGCTCTTTGCTGAGTGTTCCCGGCTCTACAAGGCCGTTTTCTGAAAGACAGAGGAGGGGTTTTAGTGGGTAAGAATCCCACAGTCCCCTGCGTAATGGAAAGTATTCGCGCAGGGACCCTTTTGAAGGTTTCCCCTCCTCTATTAAAACTATACTTTCCACACCAGTATGAAGTCGTCACCATCAGCGAAAAAAAAAACAAAAAGTTAGGTTAGGTTAGGTGGCCAAGGAGCTGTGAGACCTTGTCGTGGTGGAGGGGCTTAAGTAGTCGCTATGACCTCTCAGGCTAAGTCGGCGGGGGTCTTGCAAGTGACCCCTGGCAGGGCTACCCATGCCGAACAGGCTGGGAGAGTGTGATGAAAACAAAGGACAGCTCAACCTCAGGATCTACCATCGAAAGATGGTAGTACGGGAACTGACGCACCCGAGGTTAATCCGAGTTACGGGCTTGTGTGCCACAAGCCCGCTAAATACCGTAACCCTGGGCCACACTTCAAAGACCGCCGTGGAGAGAAAAGGGCACCGCGGCGCATGTTGTGTGGGACCCGGGGCCGGGGGGCTCGCCTTGATTGGCCGGCCTACGAGAAGTAAACCTCTATAAAATAACCCGAGAGAGCCTCGTTAAAACCTGTGGGGCACCTGGCGCACCCCATAGTATCAATGCCTTCCCTCCGGTAAGGGCCCACTGCCGGGGGGCGACGCACCGTTGGTCCCTGCTCGTGGGAACGAAATGGAGTCCCAGGAAAAAACACTTACGGTGCAGGGGGGGAGCCCCCAGTACCGGTTGGGGAGGATGGCGATAGGACAGGCCACCCCCAATCGTCAACACACGAGTGTCTTAAGCAAAGTGGCCCAGGGGGACAAAGAAAACACCCAGACCCGGCAAGCATGAAATTCGAGACACCATGGGCCCGATCGTAAGCCGGCATAAAATAAAGAGGACACCTCCGCAGAGGAGAGACTCCTGCCCGGAATGGTCTAGGTTATGGACAGACAATGGCCCTGATTGTACAAATCGGGACAACGAGAAGGAAAGGGCACTCAAAAGGAAAAGGGGAGAGGAACTAAGCCTTCAAAAGAATGAAGAAGGAGCCAGCGGGATGGACGCAAAGGCTCTAGCGACGCGCATCAGAAAGACAGTCAGGGGAATTGAAAGGGAATGCAAGTCAATTTCGCTGGTGGCCACAGAGAGGAATACTAAAAGGGAAGTCAAGGATGCCTCGGCAAAACTTAAGACCCTACTAATGCAAATAAATTCCAGCGACATACAGGAATTCCTCCAGTCGCTGGAAGAGGGATGCTGGACCTGCGACGGAGGCACGCAAGATTTTTCCTCCCTAGCAAAGGCAAATCAAGAGTTAAAAGATGAAATTAAAAAACTGAGAAACGAAAATGAGGCACTCAAGAGAGATGCCCGTTCAGGGACAAATCAGGTCATGGACGAAGATCGGCTCGAGAAGATCAAGTGTTACGATGACATTTGTCAACAGAAAGGCGTGAAATGGAGGGAAGAGTTCTTTAGGGCGACCTCCATGGTAAAAGGCTCCCCCCAAAAAGCGGAGAGAGAGGCGGACCTCATCGTCCTCATGGAAAAAGAGAGTAGCGGATACGTGAGGGACACCACCAGAGCGTTATTAGATAGATATCCAGAAGTTTAAGGGCAGGGTAAATGCCCTCTCGGTGAAAATTCGATTAGAAACTAGGGAAGGTGTGAGCGAAAGGGAGAGATACATCTACAGGACGGAGATAGATGATCTACAATCACTATATGAAGCTCTGGGGGAGATTAGAGACCGCATGGTCCGGAACGAGAGGAAAACGTTGGCAGTGTACCCGCCAAAACCCGATAAGAACGGCATGGACACGAGGAAGATCGCCGAAAAAATCTTCAGGGGATCGGACATTAAATGCCGGATCTATACCGAGGAGACAGCTCCTGAGGTCAGGGAAAGACCTAAGGACACGGAGGCAATGTTAATTAAACAAGAAGGAAGGTCGTATGCAGACCTCCTGAAAGAGGTTAAAGCTAAGGTCGCCTCCAAGCCCGAGGTCGTCCAAGGCATTAGGACCATTAGGAAGTCCAAGGATGGAAATATGATTGTTATGATGGACAAGAATTAGTCGGAGGAAAAAATGTAAGGTCGCTCGGGGGCAGCAGGCGAAAACATTGACAATTAAAGACATGGATGAGCTAGTCACGAAGGATGACGTGATTAAGGCGGTAAGGGAAGTGACGAGCACTTCTAACGATGATTTCAAAGTGGGGGATCTGCGGCCATATTATGGGGGAAACCAAGCGGCCACGACAAGTCTCCCCCCAGGACAAAGCTGAGTCCCTGCTAAGGACGGGGAAGATTAGGGTAGGCATAAACTCTTGTACAGTGGTCGAGAGGGTAAACGTTACCCAATGTTTTCGCTGCTGGGGATACGGCCATTATAGGAAAGAGTGCAAAGAGGAAGACCGTAGTATAAATTGCAGGAAATGTGGAAGGATCGGGCACAAGGCGGAAGAGTGTGGAGAAGAACTCTGTTGCCTGACTTGTAAAAGGACGGGACATGCTGCCGGATCGGGTGCATGCCCGGAATTTCGAAAAGCCCTTGCATGGGTTAGGGCTAAGGCCAAAGCGAAAAGGAGATATTAATTCTCTCTAGACGTCTAATTAGTACACAAAATCTGTGATACAAGGCTACAAGGCTGTGATATATATAGATTTTATTTACCAATCGTTGTATATAGGGTTTGTAATTAATTTAATTAATTTATTTAACTGTTTGTCCTCGCGGTGTTATATTTACTCTGTCCGTCCCCTTTAACACGGAAGATTCGTATAATATGAGTAAGATTAAGTATATACACTAATGCAGGAAGGGACAGGATGGTCATGGACCTTCTAGAACAGACAGTGGTAGAACAAAATATTGACATCATGGCAATAGCAGAACCAAATAAAAGCAAGGTGTCGACCCAGAGTTGGCTCACAGACACCGAAAGAGATGCAGCAGTCAGGATATGCGGCAGGGACATAAAATCTGGTAGCACGGGATATGGAAGAGGTTTTGTACGGTTGTCCTGTGACAGCACGGATATATACGTTTGCTACGCCAGCCCAAATAAGGGACTGGACGAATTTGAAAATTTCCTACGTACACTAGACAGAGATATCAGGAGAAGAAACCCTCATAAGCTAGTCATTATGGGGGACTTTAATGCCAAGTCCCCCAGCTGGGGATCACCAAGGTCATGCCCTAGAGGTATTATCCTCGAAGAATGGATAGCACAGAGAGATTTGAGAATACTGAACAACGGGGCGCCGACCTTCGTAAGAGACGAAAGCGTTAGTCATATTGATTTAACTCTGTGCAGTATGAACTTAATGGGTAAAATAATCAATTGGGAGGTAGAAAACTTAAGTTTACACAAAAATATCCACTTCGAACTATGCATGGATAGGACCCGAGAAGTCGTTGCGAATGCGGATGGTGAGGTGGGATGGAGCTTCCACGCCTCGCAAATGGAAGTAGCTAGGACCAGACTGGCAGTAGAGTTCTGCGGGGTGGCCCCAAATACGATGACCCCTGACAATCTCCACGAAATATTAAAAAGGGTATGCGATAACACATTCTCAAAAAGGAAAGGAAGAAGAGGGAAACAGACTAAATATTGGTGGAATCAGGAAATTGCAGAACAAAGGAAGATTTGCATAGGATTGAGAAGAGTTGTTACCAGAACAAGGAGAAGGCCCGGCGAAGCCGCAGTTGCCAAGGAGGTGTATAAACAAGCTAGGAAAGAACTGAAGAGACGAATTAGGAAATCTAAGGAAAAGTGCTGGAAGGGACTCCTCAAAGAATTAAATGAGGACACTTGGGGAGACGCCTACAAGATAGCCGTGAAAAGGGTTGGTAGTAACACCCGCCACAGATCGAAGATGACAAAAGGCTGGAAATTGCCAGAAAACTGTTCCCGGATGTAGGCGAGAAAGTATGGGACAGAAGGGGATGTAGCAGAGAAGAGGTGCCCGCATTCAAAATGGAAGAACTACAAAACACTACAAAAAAAAAGGTTAGGTTAGGTTAGGTTTTTTCCCGAGAATATGGAAAATAAATAGGGTAGTTTTGATAGAGAAACCGGCGAAAAATGGGAATCAAGGTAAGGCATACAGACCTATATGTTAGATTAATTCCTTAGGTAAGCTATATGGACATACTGGTGTTAAATACCAGGTTACAGGAAGATATGAGTCCAGTGGGGGATATTCACCAAGGCAATACGGTTTTCGTAAAGGTCGATCCACCATCAATGCTGTGAAGCAGGTTTTAGAAACCTCTTGGAGAGCACATCGACAGACTGTCGATGAATAAGTCCTGAAAATATCATACCAATAATGCTAGTTAGTGAAGCAAACAGGAACGTAGTGGAGGCGGCAATAACAAAAATTATCAGTGAAAAAGAAAAAGAGGAAAGACGCAGATAGAGGGCGGAACAAGTTGGACAAGTAGGACTGGATGAATAGACAGAATACTCTGATCCGATGTATACTCTAGGAGTGATTCCGGATTCCGGTTAGGGCAGAGGGAGGGGTTTGTGTCGGAGTAGCGCCCGACACTACCAGGGATGATAGAACGAAGTCCCTGGTGTCATGCGGTTTCCCCTCTCAAAAAAAAAAAGTTTAGGTTAGGTTAGGTGCATTCCTCCAGTAATCTCCTTTAGTAATCTTTCATACACCTTACTAAAATTATCCAGCAAATATATTGGCCTATATGATCGTTCCTCTTGGTCTATATTTTTACTTTTCTCTATCAGGACCAATTTGGCTTCTTTCCATTCTCGGGGGAAACTTAGGTTTCGCAGACACTTATTATATGTATAAGCCTAACATATATTCCGGAACAGGCCCTATTACTATTTTGACGAATTCCGAAGTAAAACCGTCTTTTCCTGGCGCTATTATCATTTTTATTTTCCCCACCGCCTCGTGCATTGTGAATAAAGAGATTTGATTTACCCCCACAATTTCTCTATCCAAGTCATTTGCACACCCAATATGGTTTTAGAAAGGGAAAAGATACGGTAGATGCTATGGAGAAAATAATGGACATAGCTAAATATGTTAACAGCGGAGCGTATGCGCGAAGGGGGTTCTGCGTGTTGGTGTCCCTGGATGTGCGCAACGCCTTCAACACGGCCAGATGAGACGTATTGGTGGAGGACTTAGAAGTAAAAGGAATAAGCCAATATCTGGTCGAGATAATAAAAAACTACCTGGAGGAGAGGACGATTTGGGTGGACGAGAGAAGCCGCATATGTATGAGAATGGGTGTCCCTCAGGGTTCGGTTCTTGGCCCAACGATATGGAACATCTACTATGATGAAGTCCTGAGATTACCATTACAGGCTTCGGTAAATACCATCGGGTACGTGGACGACCTAGCGTTAGTCGCGAAAGGACGAAATATCTATAGGAGCTAACATCAGAGCTGCTATGAGCATTATCAGCGCTTCGATGAGAAGAAGGGGATTCCAGCTGGCAATACCAAAGACGGAGGCGGTGGTGCTTGTGGGCTGCAGAAAAATTAGAGAGTTAAGATTAGATATCGAGGGTGTGGAAATCAGAAGTAGTGAAGAGGCAAAGTATCTCGGAGTGATGTTTGGTCAAAATATGAGATGCAATGGTCATTTCAATAAAATAGAGAAAAAGATAGAAGGCATCAGAAGAGGCCTAAATGGCGTGCTCCCCAACATTGGAGCCCCAGTAGCGGGAAGCGAAAGGTGACGGCGGCAGCGGTATACTCGAGTATATTCTACACACCATCCGTGTGGGGGGAAGCTCTTCGCTTTAGAACATACGAAGACAGGTGAGTCAGAATCCAGAGGCAACTGGACCTAAAAATAACGAGCCGGGGATATGCCAATCGACCTGAAAATTTTAGATGTCGACTGGCAAAGGACGTGGCCTGAGTTGGCAGAAGCGGAGGGAAAAAGATTACTGCTGAATAGATGGCAAGACAGGTGGGAAGCGGATGATAGGGTGGCCTCCTGGACTAGGAGGATAATACCAGTGTGAATATATGGATTCACAGGAACTTTGGCGATGTAAATTATTATTTGACGCAGTTCGTTTCGGGCCACGGATGTTTCAAGGCCTACCTCTTTAGATTTCTTAGACCCGAAAATGACAGCTGCGTGTACTGCGAGCACGTGGATGACGTGGAGCACACAATTTTTGCATCCCTTAGATGGGACAGGCAGAGGAGTCTGTATACGGATCTGGGAGAGGAGTTAACTCCAAAAACATTATACGGACCATGACTAGGAGTAAGGAGAAGTGGAAAAAGATCAATGGAGTACTGATAAATATTATAAAGATTAAAGAGGAGGAGGAGGAGGAGGAGGAAAGGAGACTCTAGAAGAAAGCCGTGGTAGGCGGCTTTGAGGTTGGAGCTATGTATTTTTGTTTTATTAATACAACTGTTTTATCTATTTATTTATTCATTAATGTTGGGTTTGTTGAGATTTGTAGAGTCTATATATTCTAGTCACTTATTTTTTTGTATTTATTGTTAAAGAGAAAAAGAAGGAACGGAAACTATCAGCTTGCAGGTTGTGATGAGATGTTGAAAAAACAGTTCTATAACCTGTGAGTTGAGGAGATGCGAGACCTTGACGTTGGTGGGGGGCCACAGTACTACTTGCGTCTCTCCGAGCTGCGCCGGCGGGAGTCTTGCAAGTGACTCCTGGCAGGGTCACCCTTGCTGGATTGGTTGAGGAGACGCGGGGGGGAAGCGAAGGGCATCTCGTTTCGTTTCGTCCGCGATGCGTTTGGCCCGCAGCGGGCGGCATCGCGGACAAAAATCCGGGGGGTGTCTGACCCAGAATGGGCGGCCCTCCGGTCGGCGTCTGATCCGGAGCGGGCGGCTGTCTTTCTTGGCGGACGGAACATTATGACGACAATGACTATAGACTCGGGTCGTTTTCTTTTCGAAAAACATGGAGGCACAACGAAGGGAAAACGAGTTTACTGAGCAGGGGAGGGTGACCCCAGCTCCGGTCGGTGAGGGTGGCAGCAGGCCAGGCTTCCCCCGACGGTCATCTAGTTACTGGTCGGCGGCCTCGGTAGGCAACCAGGCTGGGGTGCCAAGTAGAGCGACTGGAGGGACACACGGTGACGACCTTAGCAAGAAAAATACGGACATGACCTATGATACTGATGGATTAGAGGTGTTATGCAATATCAAGTGTCTCCTTTATATCGGAGATAACAAGTTGATCAAAGTAAGGAATAGAAAGAGGGTTGTATCGAAGGCGGTAGTGGTAAAACACGATGGAAAGGAGTATAGCAATCTTCTGCGAATGGTCAAAAATAAGTTGATTAACGATCCCCAGAACTCAGCTATGGTTTCGGGGCTGAGGCGATCTAGGGAGGGGGATGTGGTGATATCTATGAAGGAAGGTACCAAGGGAGCGGCAGAGGAGGTTAAAAAGATACTGAGTACCGAAAAAAATCTTAATGCTGTGGTATCTAAGAGAGAAGGAGATCATGTTACCCTTTATATTAAAAATATCTATCCACTGGCCACTAAGGAGGATGTGAAGGCAGCTATTGAGGAGGGGGTAGAAGGGAAAGATCAGTTAGTGCACCTAGGGGAGTTTCGAGTTTTCTGCGATGGCAATCAAGCAGTTACCGTTAAGATAGAAAGGAAGGGTGCGAAAATCCTTATTCAGAAAAGAGAAATCAGAGTTGGAGTGAATTGGTGTTCAATCTGGGAAAGCCAGGAGGTAGCGAAATGTTACAAATGCTGGGAATATGGTCACTTGAGGAAGGATTGCAAGGGGGTGGTAGATAATAGTAGAGCTTACAGAAATTGCTGTAGCCAAGAACATGAAGAAAAGGAATGTAAAAAAGAAAGCGTAGTCCTCAACTGCAAGAAGGCGGGTCACAGAGCTGAAGGCGGCTTATTGGTGGAATAGCGATCTGGAGAAATTAAGGAAGGAGGTACTGGACCTAAGGAGAGTTCCAGGGCTAGGAAAAGAAGACAAGGAGATACAATTATAACAGATCTGGAAAACGAGTACAAAGAGAGAAGGAAGGTGTTTAGGAGGAAAATTAGAGCCTGCAAAAGAAATTGCTGGAGGAGTTTATGTGCTAGTCTGGAAGAAGATATCTTTGGAGACGCCTATAAGATAGTCAAGAGAGAATTAAGGGTGTGTCACCCCAAGGTGACAAGACAGGAAAAGATGGATCTCGTGTCTGCATTGTTCCCAGCAGACCCGGAGGAGAGATGGGTACTAAATGTACCTGATACGCTAGTGCATATTATAGGGGAAGAGGAGATGGCGATTGCGGCCGAAATGTTGAAAGAGAATAGGGTCCCGGGACCGGATGGGATCCAAACAGAAGCCGTGAAAATCCTGGTTAAGGAAAAGATAAGCTATGAGTCATCAATGGTTTATAGTGCCGCCTCTTTCCCGAAGATATCGAAGAAGGCCTTGATCTAGTTCCGAAACAAGGGAAGGATGGGGACCTCCCGTCATCTCACAGACTGATTTGCTTGTTAGACTAGCGGTTTTTGCAAGGGTTGGGGGACCAGGACAAGGCAAGAGAAAAGTATTGGCTCAGGTTGCTAACTCAATTTTATTATACGGGGCGCCTATATGGGTGCCGGCAATGAGGATAAATAGGCACAGACAAAGGATGTTGTCCACCCAGCGGAAGATGGCGCTTAGAGTCGCACATGCTTATAGAACCGTCTCTACGGAAGCGGCATTGATGGTAGCAGGACTCCCGATAACGTTGAAAGAGAATAGGGTCCCGGGACCGGATGGGATCCAAACAGAAGCCGTGAAAATCCTGGTTAAGGAAAAGATAAGCTATGAGTCATCAATGGTTTATAGTGCCGCCTCTTTCCCGAAGATATCGAAGAAGGCCTTGATCTAGTTCCGAAACAAGGGAAGGATGGGGACCTCCCGTCATCTCACAGACTGATTTGCTTGTTAGACTCGCTAGGAAAATTATACGAGGCAGTGATCCTGGGGAGACTAGAGAGGGAGTTAGTTAGAATTGGTGGACTACATAAGGACCAATTTGGCTTTCGCAAAGGTAGGTTCACGGTGGATGCCGCTCATGAACTTGTAGGGTTCACTAGAGAGGCTAATTTCCAAGGTGACTGGGCAGCAGTGATATGTCTCAACGTCCGAAACGCCTTCAACTCTGCACCGTGGAGCAGAATAATGGAGGCACTTATGAACAGATTCTCAACTTCTAAGGGTGGTCGGAAGCTACCTATAGGAGAGAGAAATTGGTATCGAGAGAGGGGTATGGAGGAGGATTAATAGAGGTGTTCTCTAAGGTTCGATCTTGGTCCTACGCTTTGGAACATCCTTTATGACGGCCTACTTAGACTGGAAGTTGTCGTCCACAGGTGCGATTCGTTGTCTATGCAGACGACCTCGCTTTGTTGGTCAGATCTAAGGATGAACGAAGACTGTGTAGGAGTGCCGACCGGGTCCTGCCTAAGGTAGACAGGTGCATGGTAGAGAACGGGTTGGAGCTGGCCCCGGGAAAAACTGAAGCACTGATTTTAGCAGGCATGAGAAGGCCCAGAAACGTGAACTTCAGACTCCGAGAGACGACAACTCCCGGAAGTCATTAAATATTTGGGAATCATGCTGGATAGGTGTTTAACATTTGGCCCGCATGTATTAGAGACCTGCCAGAAGGCAGAGAAAACGATTGGGGTTTTTGCAAGGGTTGGGGGACCAGGACAAGGCAAGAGAAAAGTATTGGCTCAGGTTGCTAACTCAATTTTATTATACGGGGCGCCTATATGGGTGCCGGCAATGAGGATAAATAGGCACAGACAAAGGATGTTGTCCACCCAGCGGAAGATGGCGCTTAGAGTCGCACATGCTTATAGAACCGTCTCTACGGAAGCGGCATTGATGGTAGCAGGACTCCCGATAACGTTACTGGCGGAAGAGCGCAAGAGGCTTTACGAGGCCGGGGGATTAAAAACGGATGGACAAAAACGGGAGGTCAGACGAGATACAATGGAAGCATGGCAGACGGAATGGGATAGGTGCGTTAAGGGAAGATGGACACATAGCGAACGACCGTCATGGGTCTGGGGCGGCACACCAAGGCTCTGGTAAGTGTTATTGGTGACAAAGGGAGCCAAGGGTGGCAAAGAAATAAGTTAGACTTATTTTCGTAATTAAAGGAAGCACATAGGAGACCTCAATCAGCTTCTACATCGCCAAATTTGGGCAAACTGAATTTGACATGGAATGAAAAACTTGGTAGATCAATTAACAGAAAAAGGGATGAGACACGGGGGATACAACAGCAACAGGTAGAGGAAGGACAACATGAGAAAACCGTGGCCTCTACAGTTAGGCACGTCATTAGAAGTGTAGATAAAGAGGTGAGATCCTTATTTAGAGTGGTCCAGGATGCCATTTCCAGGAAATACAAAAAGGGTAATAACAGAAATAACGAATACCTAAGTATTATATCTAAATCCCTGGCAAGCAGACTGATGGCCACCGAGAAACAGGCGCTGTTGGCGACATTGGGCACCGCATCAAAGGAAAACGATATAGAACTAGTAATCATGGCAGAGGATAAGTCCTGTAAGGTGAGGGTGGAAACGACATCGGTTGCATGTCAAACTGACGAACTTCCCGAGATGAATATGATAAAAGATGTAAATAGAGGTCATATAGAACTTATGAAGATTTCTCCAAAATCGAAAAAATCTAGAAAGTCGCACATCCGGTAGCTGCCAATTTACTGGATGCAAATAGAGATACGGATTTGGTGTATTTGGACGAAGATAGGAGTGACCCAGAAATTGCAGAGACCCTAGGGGTAATCGAAAAAAGATTTCCTGAATTAAAAGAGGCTACAGGCAGAATAAGCCAAGTGATAACGACCACTAAGATGGTAGGAAGTGAGGGTATAGCGGCTAGTCGCGACGTGTTAGTTACAAAATTGGAACCTGGAAAATCAAAACAGGAATGGTTTGATACTCTGTTAACATTAAAAGGAAGTTTGATAATGAACAAACGGAAAAGTTTGGTATAAACTGGCGAGGTGGCAAGGAAAATACTGGAATGCATATTTGACGGTTGTGACATTAAATGTTTAGTGTATTCGTATAAGAAGATCAAGCATAAGACTGAAACGGAAGCGGTAGTGGTTAAAAATACCGGCGGTGCGAATTATTTCGATTTCCTTCGTGTCGTAAAGAATACATTGTCAAAAGATAAGGAAAAAACAGAAATGATCAAGGGATTAAGAAGATCCAGAAAGGGAGACATTGTAATAATAATGAAAAAAGGTTCACAGGGAACTGCAGATAATGTGCAAAGGGCCCTTAAAGAAAGCGATAATTTGGAGAAAGTAGTTAAAAGCCAAAGGGGAGACGCTGTCACACTCCACATAAAGAATATAGACCCCTTGACTACTAGGGAGGAAGTAAAAGCAGCCAACGAGGAGGACTTAAATGGACAAAATGACTTGGTATATTTAGGAGAGTTCCGGGTATTTTTCGGCGGTAACCAGATGATTACTGTGAAAATGAAAAGGGAAGGGGCAGAGGCTCTGCTAAAGAATAGAGAATTGAATTGGGAAATGTGGAAGTTTGAACCACAAGGAGAAGGAGTGCAGAGAGGGAAGCAAGTGTCTAACCTGCAAAGAGCTAGAGCATAGGGCGGGCACCACAAATAGATGTCCGGCCTTTAGGAAGGCACTACAACAAATAGGACTCAACGCTAAAAAAAGGAGAGCTTATTAAGTCTCTGTGTATACTACTTTTATTGATTCGTCTGTGTATTTTGTAAATTGTAGTCCATTGTATATTTATTGCGATATAATCATCTGTGATATTTGATAAAAGCGTACTAATTTATCTCCATTCCGATCATGCTAAGTGTTATGCAGATATTACAAGTTAATTTATGTAGAGACAAGGGGGCTAGTGATTTACTAGAACAAGCTATAAACGAAAGGGATATAGATATCGCGGTAATAGCGGAGCCAAATGTTAATTATGTAAAGAGGAGGCAGTGGCTGGTTGATGATAGGACAGATGTTGCCATATGGTTACGAAGTCCCAGGATCAGGATAAACAGTGTAAGTAAAGGACATGGATTTGTACGGATAAAGGTGGATGACCTACAATTATATGGATGTTACTTCAGTCCTAACAGGGATATGGAGGAGTTTGATGGCTTCCTCAACATATTGAGGGATGAGACGAGGAGATACTATGGACATAAAATTGTCATGATGGGAGATTTTAATGCTAAGTCTCCGGCGTGGGGTTCACCAAGGATATGCCTGAGGGTTGAAATTTTTTGCAGAAATAAATCTGCAGGTGCTTAATGGGGGAGCCCCAACTTTTATCAAAGGAGCCAGTCAATCGCACATTGACGTAACAGCGTGTAGTGGGCAAATCTTCAGTAATGTGAGAAATTGGAGAGTATGAGGAGGAAAATTTAAGCCTACATAAAACCATCCTATACGAGATAAGTTTAGGACTAGTTCGGGCCGAAAGATTAGCGACCACATGTTGGGAATGGCCATAGTTAAATTGGAGCAGGCGTTTCGGGGCACTACTGCTGAACGAAAGATTGCTGGAGGAAATAAGAAATAAAGGTGGTTTAAATCACTTCCAATTCGGATTTAGCAAGGGTAAGGACACTATTTAATTTAATAAATTCTGCATCGACCAGGGAATCGAATGGCGCATGTCGATGTAAGGCATTGCCAATAAATTCTGGTTTCCTAAAATGAGGAAGTTTATAAAGAAATATGTTCAAGCTTGCACCAATTGTATGTATTTTAAATCACCAAGGTAAACGACATGGTTATCTTCATACAATCTCAAAAATCCCACGTCCATTCCATACGATTCATATTAACCACTTAGGTCCCATGAGCAAAAGTAAACAGGGCAATCAATATATCCTAACTATTGTCAATGCTTTTACCAAATTCTGCTTCATAAGAACTGTTTGGAATACAAAAGCCATATGTCGTGGAGGAACTCAATACAATAGTCCAAAACTTTGGGGTTCCTAAACGTATAATCATTGATAGAGGTAAAGCTTTCATTTCAAGAAAATTTAAAGAATTTTGTGGATCTAAAAACATAACACACCATCTTAAAGCCGTGGGGATGCCCCGTGGGAATGGCCAAGTTGAAAGATATAATAAGACCATTCTAGATGCATTATCGACGATGGGCGCTAATAAAGATGACCACGAGTAGAACGATAACATTCTGAACATTCAATTGGGCATTAACAACACAGTAAATAGGGCAATAGATACTACCCCATCTGAAGTAGTACTGGGGTATCGATCTGGCCCAAGTAATGTTGGCACTCTGAATGATCATGAAGATCATGAGACAGTTGACGTAACCGCTTTGCGAACCAAAATTAAGGACAAGGTGGAAGCTATGCAGGCCTATCAAAAGAGCAGTTTTGATGCACATCGAGCCCAACCAGGAGCTATTCTGTACGTGATTTGGTGTTGGTGAAGATATCATCCATCGTTAGTACCGGGCAGAGTAAAAATTTGGTTCCTAAGTGGAAAGGGCCTTTCAAAATATCGCAGGTTCTTGAGAATGACCGATACGAAGTGAAAGGGTTGTTTGGATCAGAAAGATCTAAGATACCATATACTGGAGTCTATGCTACTGAGCATATTAAGAAATGGATAGCAGTCAGGATGGTCGAATGTGAAGGTTCGTCGTATCAGCTGACCGTAGTATGGGTAGGAACAAAAGGGCGCTGTTCAAAAGGATAAACAAATCTGTGGCTGATATCGTCACCGCCTGTGTTTTATAAACATACAGCGATAGGTTTAAAAAGGGAGAGACTTCTCAGTGCCTTATTAGCTTTGATAGACGTAGCTTACTATTGAATAATTATATCGATTTATAAAGTGGAGATTTGTAGAATATATTAATATTGAAAAGTTATTATTAGAAGTGTTCTGTTTATGATTGTATCTTAATAGTTTTGATGCAGGCAACCAGAATTACAAAATTGTATGCAACCAACACAACGTTTTTACAGTTGCATAGTGGTATATGGTACTTACACTCTGTTAACCTCAAGAATTTTATTATCTTTGGGAAACAAAATTGTATGTATCACATACAACTTTGTTATTTTAAATATTTGAGTACTCATAATGTAAACATGCACATACAATTATGTTATTCGTTAATATGCTAAAAATCCGCTAAACACGAGAATGTGATTGATGCAATTTAAGTAATAAAATTAGAGTTTTTTATAAGAAAATGTTAGAAAGAAGGTTAGTTTTTGCTTTAATAAGTATTTTTTTAAACTTTTATCGGTTTATGTTTTAGAAATTATATTTTTATAAAAAAAATGGATACTATGCAGTCTGAGTCTGAGTCGGAAAACGAAAAGCTTGCAGATTTAAGGTATAATTAAACTAAAATTCTATATAAGTTCTAAATTAACTTTTTTTTAGAAGGAAACTTCTCAGCCAAAAACAAGACAATGATTGTTCAAGCAGGATGTTTGCCGGGTAAGAAGTTTTTTAATGTTATCTAATATTAGGTAAACCTAATTGTTGGAAAAATAGTTAAGTTTACTTTTAAAGTAATTTACTTTTAATTCTGTGTTTAGAAATGCTCTACCAGAAATTTTGAACCGTGATGGCTATGACTCTAACGAAGATGGGTCCTACATACCTTCAAGTTCTAGTAGTGAGTCCGGTGGTTCTGAGATTCATGAAGGGGTCGAACACATTTCTGCTGAGACTGACGGTAGCTCTAGTTCTAACTCACAGCGAGAGTCAACACAATCAAGAAAAAGACATCGAAATCCAACTAACTGGATGTGTAATATTAGAAAGGCAGCTCGTGAAGCCGGAAAAGAGTACAAATCGGTAACAAACAAAATTGTGCCAGCAAAGGCGAATTAAAACAATAAAGGATTGTCAAAATAAATGTATTTATAACTGCCAGAAGCTGATTTCTGAAAATGAGACACAGAATATTTTTTAACGGTATTATACTCTAAATGAGCATGCAAAAAAAATGTTTTTATTGGCTACTACAAAACAATTCAATGTTGAGCGTCATAGAAAGAATAAAACAGATTTAAATAGCAGAAGAAAGCAAACTTTTAGTTATTATTTCGAGATTCGCGGTCAACAAATTCAAATCTGTAAGTCATATTACCTTACCACTTTATCTATAAGTCAAACTCATGTTTGAAGAAAGACGCTATAAATATACCGGATATCCCTGTCCAAGGGAAACAGACGTTAATTTGGTAAAAACGCATATCGAATCTTTCCCTCACGTAGAATCGCATTACTGCCGAGCAAACACGAAACGCAAATACTTAGATTCCTCACTGAACATTAAAAAAATGTATAACCTTTACGTAGAAGTCTGTCAATCATCAGGAAAAAAACCAGTAAAGGAATCATTTTACCGAAACGTACCTACAATGGAATTTCCAAATATACCTGCCCATACATTCAACTTCTGGGGGTGTTGGGAGTGTGTCTCATGGAAAATCCTTGGATTGGTATCAGCCCAGTAACGACAATTATGGCGATTCACTAAACCATTCAATTCATTTGAAGACAACCTGTATCATTGTATACAAGTTGGCGGACAACATTTTCAGCATTTACTTGACTAATACCGTAAGTTTTGAAGTAAAATTAAATCGATTTTCGCATTTCTCGTCAAAAATATTGTTCGTATATTCAAAGCTGCATATTTTCTAAAATAATGAATCGATTTTCAAAAAGTAAGAATCGATGTATAGAGAATTAAAAGCCCTTTCTAATGACACCCCACTTGACACCCATTCCCATTAGAAAAAATTTAGGGGATAGCACCCCCACTTAGGGGGTTGAAGATTTTGTTATGCTTTTTGAGCCAAAAGTTGTCCCCCTCAGAAACTTGCCTATTTTTGGAATTTGCCGAAAAGTTCTTTACTACCCTGTAATGCCTTGCGGTACGTTTTCGATGGGCTACCCTGTATAATGATGATTCATGCAATAAAACTGGTATATAAACAAAGCAGAATATACCTGTGACCAGAATGTATGTGTGGAATTAAACCTTTGCATCTGTGAAAACTTTTATATATCATTTAAATGTTGACATTTGTTGTACCGTTAGAATTTGTAAATTTTTAATTGAATAAGTGTAGTAGGACTGCAAAATCATATGTGCAAAATGTAAAAGACCCTCATAACTTCATAAGCTGTGTTTAAACTCCAACCAAAGTTCAAATTGTTGTGTAGACTTTATAATACTTGATGGACCGGAGTACTTTGAAATTTTCTGTTGTTTACATCTGAAAAACGAGGAAAGAGTATAAAAGGCGTTATAAAGGTTGTACTAAAGACATTGAAACGACAGACATGCTGAGAATTAAGCTATTTATCAAAATTTAGTTGAAATTTGTAAATAAGTAAAATTTTGGCATGACTTTTAACTTACACTAGAAACGTGCAATTGGTGTCAAAAGATGCAAAAAATTCAAGGAAGCTGAAAATGTAAATTTCATGCATTATAATTCAGTCCAATAGTCAGTATTTGCTTAAATAAAATTTCAAACATGTTTGTTATTGTTGCTATAGAAACTTTCACTTGTTTTTTCACGTTTATTAAAACTAATATCCGGGCTCGAGGTAGCCAGTCTTCCATGTTTACCTGTAGCAGCAACATCGCTAGTTTGCTCCTAGAATAAACAATTGCTATCAATAAAATCAACAAGTGAAAAAAATTATACTTATCAAGCCATCTTGGTTGTGAAATGTCATGGACAGATACAGCTGTTAAAAGTCTAAAAGTCACATTAGTTGAAGCTACATAAGTTCGAAAATTCGTTGAGCAACATCAACATAAGTAATTGTAAAATAACAAATTTGAACAAGGTTAACAAGCATAAATAAAAAGTGATAAGTGAAATATATTAAAAGAATAGTACAGTTCAGTTTTCATCTGTAAGAATTCCAGAAAAAAATATCCAAGAAAACTTCGGAAATCTTCGTGGCGTGACGGCGTTTCAACGAGGAAACTTCAGACCAATACGATTACATGCAGGAGGATTTACAGTGCAGCGCGGTTACATGCAGATTAAATAACCAGCAATAATTCTACGATTGTCAGTGTCGACAAAATTAGCTAAACAAATTTGCAAATTTGAAACTAAAGCGCTATAAAAATTTCTACATTAAAAATTTCACTGTATTTATGTATAATTAATGCACAATTTCATTGTCAACCAGTTGAACGAACTACTTACAGTATAAACCACTATTATGCACTGTAACAGTAAACTTTAGGGGGGAATTTTTTTGTTTTATTG